CCCCGTGCTTCTACTGGCGCCCCACCCCTCCTACAGCCCGTTCTCCTGAATTAGGGTTTGGGGGTGAGGGGTATGGGGGTGAAGCCACTGTGTGCCGTTCCCTGCTCCTCCTCCTCCTCCGTCTCCCTGTGCTGCAGCTGCCGCTGAGGGGGGGTGAAGGGGGAGTGGAGCTAGCGGTGTAGCAGCGGGTGTGTGTCAGGGGGAGTGGGATAGTTTGGGGAGGTTGAAGGGGGTGGCCGCCGTGAAGCCAGCAGCTCCAGTCGCCCGTGAGACCGTTGCGCCAGTCGCCCGTGAGCCCGCTGCGCCATTCGCCCGTGAGCTAGTTGCTCCAGTCGCCCGTGAGTGCGTTGCTCGTCTGCCGCTACTTTTAGCCGCGGAGCCAGTTACTCCAGTAGCCCGTGTGCCAGTTGCTCCAGTTGCCAGTGTGCCAGTTGCTCCAGTTGCCCGTGTGCCAGCTGCTCCAGTTGCGTCGTGTGCCAGCAGCTTCAGCTGCCGCCCACTACCTCCTCTCCTCTCATAGTCTCTTTCCTCCTCCTCACTTGCCCGTTGTGACTACTACTAGCTTTGCTCATAATTGTGAACTTTAAACTATTGCTTGTGCTCAGAATGTGTGGTGACATTGTGATCCACCCTGAGCTTGTACTGCTTTGCTTGCTCTGCTGATTACACCTCACTTTGGTTAGGGGGGTGTGTCAGAATATTATGCTCTAGCCTGTAGTGGGGTGCTCTGTAGCGAGTACAACCCTTCTAGGGTTTGCTATTTGTATCCTCATTCTTGCTAGTGCAACCCCTTCTTCATTCTAAACTTTTCACAAAGTCTGCCGAAAGGTAATTGCCGCAAACTACAACAACTACCGCGACATGGTGTGTGCAGAAGAGAGATTCGATGCGCTAATGCGATGTGAGCCCGAGACACGACGCCACGTGCCGAACAGATCATTCGACACGGAGCGATCGGCACCACCCACGACCGCCGACCTGATGGATATCGACAAGATCAACGCGAAGCAGCGGCCAACAGAATATGAGAAGTGCGAATTTTGCGGCGCAGCAGGACATCGACTCTTGGCGTGTTGGAAAATGAAGAAGGCACGAGCGGAGCTACAGGGCAACAACAGTGCGACATCCACGATGGCGGAAAAAGGAGGATACGATGGCGCGAATTTAAAACGCCACAACCGGCCGGCAACAGGGGAAATTGCCGAGACAAATGGAGGCTCTGCGAAACAAGACTCTGCACTGACCGGGAAACTCTAACCGAACACCCCCGAGAGTAAGAATATTCCCTCTCGAGATTTTCAAGCCTTAAAAAAATTCAGGGGAGATTTCAATGCCAACAAAAAAGCCTTTAGAAATTATTCAGGTACCTGAGAAGTTGGGCAAACCACTCTGGAGCGTTGAAAAGGGTCGTGCGTTCCAAGGAGTTCATATTCTCTCCCCGCAGCATAGTGTTAAGGCTCCCCATTGCCCACAGGAGAAGCCTACACAGCTGCAAATGCTGTGAAGGTTTTAGGCCAAGACAAAGCTGAATCGGCCTCAGATAAATCCTTCCAACCCTACTCAGTTGGAAACTAATATGGAGTCAGCAGCTTCGAGCGCAGGACCGAGGGATGATCTATTCGACGTACCCTACGATCCTATAAGCAAGATCATCTACGGTTACTCGGAGTAGCAACAACCACTACTACTCGAGGTGATCTGCAACGGGCGACGCCTCCAGGCACTGGTGGACAGCGGTGCGTCTCACTCGGTGTGCAACCGCGGGACGTTGGAGAAAATTGGAGAATTTTCGGAGGAGACCAATTTCTCGGCAACAATGGTGGACGGTACGAAACTTGCAGGCGTACCTCCAGCACGCACCCACGAGCATGAGATCATGGAGGAACCAGGTGCGAAACCCGTCTCACGTGCACCATACCGACTGAGTCCGACCGAACTGACAGACATGAAGAAACAGATAGAGTATCTACTGGACAGACAACTGATCCGCCCATCCACCTCTCCCTACGGTGCACCAGTTCTCTTCACTCCAAAACCAGACGGCAGTTTCCGGATGTGCATTGACTACCGCGCACTGAACAAACAGACAGTCAAAAACAAATATCCCATACCGCGCATAGACGACCTACTCGATCAACTGCGTGGAGCAACAGTATTTTCGAAACTGGACCTACGGTCGGGTTACTAGCAGATCAAGATGGCAAAAAACTCGATCCACAAGACGGCGTTCCGTACTCGATACGGCTCCTACAAATACTTGGTGATGCCGTTCGGACTCTGCAACGCACCAGCAACGTTCCAGGCGGAAATGAACCATATTCTCTGGGCCTTGCTGGACGAGTGCGTAGTGGTGTACTTGGACGATATTCTTATCTACTCCAAGAACATGAAGGAGCACGTGGAGCATCTGCGGAAGGTGTTCGAGATCCTGCGGAAAAACAAGTTCTACGTGAAGCTGTCGAAGAACGACTTCGCCCTGAAGAAGGTGCAGTTTCTTGGGCACATGGTGAGTGCCGAGGGCGTACACGTGGACCCGCGGAAGATCGAAGCCGTCAAGAAGTGGAAAGTACCGGAGAACGTGAAGGAGTTGCAGCAGTTCCTAGGCTTCGCCAACTACTACGACAGGTTCCTGCCGCAGTACGCTAAGATAGCAGCGCCACTGACCGACCTACTGAAAAAGGATAGATGGGATACGCCTCATCACCAAGCCATGGAGCAGCTACAGACAGCACTGACTACATCGCCAGTACTCATCCTACCAGATCCAGACAAGGACTACGTGGTGGAAGCAGACGCTAGTGACCAAGCAGTCGAAGCAATACTGATGCAGGATCACGGACGCGGTTTGCAGCCCATCCCCTACCACAGTAAGAAGCTACACAGAGCAGAACTGAACTACCCCATCCATGACAAGGAAGGTTTAGCGATCGTCATAGCCTTCAAGGCGTGGAGGTGTTACCTAGAGGGAGCCAAGACTACAGTCTATACTAACCACTGCAGTCTCAAATATCTGAAGTCACAGCCGACGCTCTCAGGACGACAGGTGCGGTGGGTGGACTTCCTGGAAACTCACTTCCACTACGACATCGTCTACAAGCCCGGGCTACACAACAAAGCAGACGCGTTGAGCCGCCCCGGACATGTAGCAGGCATCCAGCTCAACAGGATGAACCCTCTACTCAAGGGTCTATTCCAACATGGGTACTCCGTGGACGCAGAGATCGCTACAGCACAGACCAAGAAGTTGTTACAGTGGGAGAAAGACTTAGATGTAAGGAAGGGTTCAGGAAAGATTTGGGTACCGAATTACGCCCCGCTACGGCAGATCCTATTGGAGGAGTTTCACGACGTACCTTACGCGGGACATTTCGGGAGCAACAAGACGTTAGCAGGGATAGCAAAGTATTACTACTGGCCCAGGATGGCAGCAGACGTGCACCAGTTCCTCACCTCTTGCGACACGTGCCAGCGGATGAAGAGTAGCAAGCAGAAAAAAGCAGGGTTACTTCAGCCTCTACCCGTACCGGAGCAGCCATGGCATGTCGTTAGCCTCGACTTTATCATAGGACTTCCTTCGACCTCACGGGGGCACGATTCCATCCTCATAGTAATCGATAAGTTCTCCAAAATGGGTCACTTCATACCGACCAACGCCACATCTACAGCTCAAGCAACTGCTCGCCTCTTCTTCGACCGCATCATCACCATCCACGGCATCCCTGCTACACTCATCTCAGATAGAGACCCCAAATTCACGAGTAAGTTCTGTGGAAGGAGCTCATGGGATTATTGGGGACCAAACTTGCGATGTCCTCAGCATACCACCCACAGACTGACGCACAGACAAAGCGACTCAATCAAGTGGTTGAACAGTTACTGCGCACAGCTTGCAAGGACGTCGTCAGCCAGTGGGACACACAGTTACCGACCCTAGAGTTCGCTTACAACAACGCATCACATGCGGCCACAGGGAAAACTCCTTTCTTCCTGTGTTACGGACGAGAACCACTCAGACAACAGCAGCCAACTACACCGGCACACGTCCAAGCCGCACATGACTTCGTCACCACCATGCAGCAGCTATGGGAGAAGACTCAGCGACGACTCACCACGATACAGACCTCCAAGAAGCAGTATGCCGATCGTCAGCGACGTGATCACTCACTAGCAGTCGGAGATCAGGTGCTTCTAAACACGCGCAACTTGAACCTGTCTCACCTTTCATCCAAACTCCGGCCTCGCTTCTGTGGTCCTTTTCTCGTTGAGGCATAGGTGACACCAGTTACATTCCGCTTGCGCTTACCAGATACATGGAAGCTTCACAATGCTTTCCATGTCCAGCTACTGAAGCCCTACAAGGACCCCAACCAACAGTTCTAGGGACGGCAACTACCGCCACCACCACCTGTTCTCATGCAGGATGAACCCGAGTACGAGATCGAGCGCGTTCTCACTCATTGGCGCCGCAGTGGCAAAGCCCTCGAGTTCCTGATACGCTGGAAGGGATACGACCCCACTGAGGATAGTTAGGTTGCAGAAGCTGATATGGGCAACGCACGCCGTGCTCTCAAGGACTATCTTATCAAGCAGGGTGTATCTCACGCCACCCAGCTTTGAGGGGGGGACGTGTAAGAGTACAACGGCTTATGCCAGCTATGCTTGCTTGCCTTTACTTTATCATGCTATTTCTAGCATAGGATAATTATATGCATGCATGAATTGCTTGATTTCCTAGGCTAGGTGCTTTCCTATATTTTGTTATAGTTATAGCACCGAGCTAGGTTGCGTGCACCGAATTCTGGCTTTTCGGTTGCCACCGAATTGCCTTCTACCAAATTCGGGAAGGATCTGTTCGGGACGCTTCGCGACCCGCGGAACCTTCGCGTAACACCTGGTTACGGGGCCTTGTGTCGAGCCTATATATAGCCTCGTGTTGTACCCAGGTGATCATTCAATTCAATCCAATTACAATTCTCTTTTCTGAGCTCGATCCTAGATCCTCACACACTAGCACCTAGAGCAGTAGCCTCACCAGCACCTAGAGCAGCAGCCTCACCAGCACCTAGAGCAGCAGTCCCAATGCCCGGGTCAGGCGGAACACATAAGTAACAGTCACCCTCATCACTAGTAGACACAGCATACATGGCAGCAAGAATAGCATCATAGTCAAGATCAAAGATAGCAACCCCCGCCCTAGACAGCTCTCCCCAGCGAGGGATCTCAGTGGCGTCAGGGAACTGGTGACGCCAAGCGTCCGTCAGGCGGCTGAAGCAGCGCTTGGTGGAGTGCGAGCCCCCACACTACTCACCAGCGCGGTCGCCGGTACGGAGGACGTAGGTACACGGACCAGTACCCCCACCCCGCTGACGCCCAGCGTACCACTCACGAAGCTGCTGGGGGGACGGGGTCTCACGAGTGCGCTGCTGCAGCTGGCGCGGACCACCACCGGAGCCACTCCTTTGCGCAGAGCCGCGACCAGCTCCACCGCTGCCGCCGCCGCCTCCGCCACCTCCGCCTCCTCCGCTCCCACCGCCACCGCCGCCGCCTCCTCCGCCTCCACTGCTGCCACCGACACCTCCACCCCCGCCACCACTCCCACCACCACCCCCACTCCCTCTACCGCCTCCACCACCACCTCCACCGCCCCCGCTAGCCCCTCAAGCTCCCTTGCCCCCCTTGCCCTTGCCGGTGCGGCGTCTCTCGGTAGGGGCAGACGCAGCCCCGACCGACTCGAAGCCAACGAGGTCGGCTGCAGCAGCAGAGGCAACAGAGGGCAAGAGGGGGGAGGGGGGACACCCCTCAAAGACGGGGGTACGAGGGTCACCACGAGAGGCTCCTACAGCGACTATGCTCTTCTCTGCTGCCAGGAGGCGCTCCTCGAGGAGGTCAACGGTGAGTGTGGTGGGGCAAACTGAGAGGAAGTGGTCCCAGACAAGGGAGTCAGAGAGCCGGGTGACTATGTAGTAGAGGGTGATGTACATGGGGGGAGGGTTCTTGGCACAGAACTCAGCAGGAAGCGCACCGCGGTAGCGAGTGTCATTAGTGCGAAGGTGCGTAATGAGGTCAGCGACTGTGGGAAAGGCAGCAAGGTCAGGGAACAAGTACGGCAGTATGAGGCGGCTAAGAGCAGCAGTGGCAGGGGAAGAGTAGCGTGCAACTCCACCGTCGTACAAGGTCTTAGCACTCTTGTACTCACTAAAGTGCGCACACTCAACGGTCGGTAAGTGGCGACGCACAGCAAGACGGGCAGCAGCATCGCGTGTGGCCCACTGTGAGCGAACAGTGCTGTCAGCATCAGCAGGCGGGGCAGGAGAGGCACCAGAGGTGAGAGCGAACAGAGAGAGTCTGTCTGCCCTATCGCACTGTAGGAAGAGCTGTAGGTCATCGACCCATACCTCGAAGTCAACAACACGACCCTCAGCATCAAAGGTAAGGACACTGGGGGTAGCCATGATAGCAGCGGTCTAGCAGGGAGTGCTCTCACCAGTCCGGGTGGGTAGGGCCGGGGCGCGCCTGTAGGAACAGGGCTGCAACTGCGGTGGCGGCGGCTTGACAGCGGCAGTAGCGGCTCGGCGGCGGCGGCAGCTCGGTAGTGGCGGCTCGACGGCGGCCTTGGCGGCTCGGCGGCTCGGCGGTTTGGCGGCTCGGCGGCTCGGCGGCTTGGCGGCTCGGCGGCTCGACTTCTTGGCTGCTTGGCGGCTCGGTGGCTCGGCGGCTCGGCCGCTTGGCGGCTCGGCGGTGAAGGCGCCGGGGAGAGGCCAAAAGGGGCGGCGACGGGGCCGCAAGGGGCGGCGACGGGGCCGCTAAGGGCGGCGACGAGGCCGCAAGAGGGCGGGGACGGGGCCGCGAAAGGGCGGCGACGGGGCCGCAAGAGGGCGGCACTAGGGCCGCGAGAGGGCCGCGACGCGGCCGCTAGAGGGCGGCACTGGGGCCGCGAGAGGGCAGCGACGAGGCTGTGAGGAGCGGCTGCGGGGCCGCGACGGGCGGGGACGCGGCCGCTAAGGGGAGGGCGGCACACAGGGCGCGCCTCGGTCAGGGGCGACTCGATCTTAGGTGTGAGAGTACGACGGCTTATGCCAGCTATGCTTGCTTGCCTCTACTTTATCATGCTATTTCTAGCATAGGATAATCATATGCATGCATGAATTGCTTGATTTCCTAGGCTAGGTGCTTTCCTATATTTTATTATAGTTATAGCACCGAGCTAGGTTGCGTGCACCGAATTCTGGCTTTTCGGTTGCCACCGAATTGCCTTCTACCGAATTTGGTAAGGATCTGTTCGGGATGCTTCGCAACCCGCGGAACCTTCGCGTAACACCTGGTTACGGGGCCTTGTGTCGAGCCTATATATAGCCTCGTGTTGTACCCAGGTGGACATTCAATTCAATTTGAATCATCTTTTCTGAGCTCGATCCCAGATCCTCACACTTGGTAATCAGAGCAGGTTTACACGCGAGGTCTTCAACCGCTTAGTTCCGGCCTTTAAAAACCGCGGGGGCGACGACGAAAGCGCCGATACGGGTATGTAAAACCAGTTCCGCGCAATTTTTCTAAGTCCCCCTCGATTCGGTTTTCGAACACCCCTCAGATTTACTGGTGGAAAGGTTGGAGTTTCGACCGTTCGATCGAGTTTCATCTCAACGGCCCAGAGAATTTCGCCCAAAAACGTTGGAATTTGGAGCGTCGGATCGATTTTCTCCTCAACGGCCAAGATCGGACGCGAATTTCGCCTAAGGGAGATTTACGCAACCTACAGAATTCGCGCTCGTCGATTCTACAGTCAACTTGACTCGCTGTAAGTCGACCAGCACCTAGAATTCGATTATTTTCGTCGCGCATCTTCCTGTAAATCACCAAATGGAGGGCCAAGGCGACAACTACGCGACTACGAGCGACATCGCGAGCCTCCGCACCGACATGGAGCAGACGCAGGCGACGCTTCGTCGACTCGAGGCTTTTCTGACAAGCCAACCAGGGTTTGCCACCGCAGCAGCAGCGACCACAGCGACTACAGCACCGACAACTCCAGCAGCAGTGGCGACACCGACATTTCACGGACCAATGGCACCACTGTCGCCAAACCTCGAAGCAGCACGACCGAGGCTCCCAGAGGCGTTCGATCCAAGCGCGAAGGGATCCGACGTCCGGCGATTCGTGGCCACCCTCGAAATTTACTACGAGGCCATTGGCTGTTCGACCCCGCAACACGACGCAGCAAGGATTCGGCTCGCAGCGACACTGTTACGTGGACCGGCTCTCGAATGGATTTACTACACCGACGTAGCCCGCGGGGAGAAAACGTGGCAGCAGTTTCGAGCAGATTTAATCGAGCGTTTCGAACCAATTAATACAACCTACATGGTGCGGCAGCAGATACACCGACACAAGCAATACAGTAGTGTAACACAGTACACGCAGCAGATGGAGTTACTGTTCAACCGCATCACCGACCTGACCGAAGGCGAAAAAATCCAGGCGTACACCGAAGGATTAAAAATGGAGATTCGGCGGCAGGTGATTGCGGCGAATTACAACAGCTACAGAGACATCGTGCGTGCTGCCGAGCGATACGACGCGCTGACTCGAAGTCAACCCGAAACACGACGCTTCACGCCGAACCGTACATTCGGCACGGAGCGATCGGCACCCCCCACGTTCACCGAACCGATGGATATCGACAAAAACGACGCAAAGCAGCAGCCGACAAAATGCGAATTTTGCGGCGCAGCAGGACATCAGTTTTTGTCGTGCTACAAAATGAAGAAAGCACATGCGGCACTCCGGGACGGAAACAGTGGAGCACCCCCGAAGTCAAAAAAATGGGAATCGCCAGTAGCCGCGGATCGACCTGGCGATCGCGTAAAGATCCGAAAAGCTGGAAAAGGCGACGGCGTGGCGACTTCGGAGCAGGTGAAAAAAGGAGAAAATGATGGCGCGAATTTAAAACGTCACGACTGGCCGGCATCAGGGGAAATCGCCGAGGCGAATGGAGGCTCCGCGAAAAAAGACTCTGCACCGACCGGGAAACTCCAGCCGAACACCCATGAAAGTAAGAATTTGTTAAAAGTATCCTATAAAGATGCTCTAACAAAGAATATTGCTTCTCGTGGTTTACAAGCCTTCAAAAAATTCAGGGGAGGTCTAGAGGCCAAGAAAAAGCCTTTAGAAATTATTCAGGTACCTGAGAAGTTGGGCAAAGCACTACGGAGCGTAGAAAAGGGTCATGCGTTTCGTGGAGTTAATATTCTCTCCCCGCAGCACAGTGTTAAGGCTCCCCGTCGCCCACAGGTGAAGCCTACACAGCTGCCAAGGCTTAGAGGAGACATCCAGGCTCAGGAAAAATTATACAAGCCTCGGAAAAATCCTCCTACCCCCCAGGTGAAGTTGGAAAGCGCTGAGTCAGGTATAGGAAAAAGGGAAGGTATTAAGTTTGATGTACCCTATGATCCTATTAACAAGACCCTCTTTGGCTACTCAGCACAGCAGAAACCACTACTCCTCGAGGTGTTATGCAATGGGCGACGCCTCCAGGCACTGGTGGACAGCGGTGCATCTCACTCGGTGTGTGACCGCGGAGCATTGGAGAAAATTGGAGAGAAGGCGGAAGAGACCCAGTTTTCAGCAACCATGGTTGACGGTACGAAGCTTCCTATCCACGGCGAAGCATCACTGCAACTGCATATAGGTGCGTTGAGGTGGAAGCCGAAGCTACCAGTCACCACCATGCAGCAGCTATGGGAGAAGACTCAGCGATGTCTCACCACGATGCAGAACTCCTAGAAGCAGTATGCCGATCGTCAGCGACGTGATCACTCAGTAGCGTTCGGAGATGACTCCGTCACCACCATGCAGCAGCTATGGGAGAAGACTCAGCGATGTCTCACCACGATGCAGAACTCCTAGAAGCAGTATGCCGATCGTCAGCGACGTGATCACTCAGTAGCGTTCGGAGATCAGGTGCTTCTCGACACGCACAACTTGAACCTGTCTCACCTCCCATCCAAACTCCGGCCTCGCTTCTGTGGTCCTTTTCTCGTTGAGGCACAGGTGACACCAGTTACATTCCGCTTGCGCTTACCAGATACATGGAAGCTTCACAACGCTTTCCATGTCCAGCTACTGAAGCCCTACAAGGACCCCAACCAACAGTTCCAGGGACGGCAACTACCGCCACCACCACCTGTTCTCATACAGGATGAACCCGAGTACGAGATCGAGCGCGTTCTCTCTCATCGGCGCCGCGGTGGCAAGACTCTCGAGTTCCTGATACGCTCGAAGGGATACGACTCCACTGAGGACAGTTGGGTTGGAGAAGCTGATATGGGCAACGCACGCCGTGCTCTCAAGGACTATCTTGTCAAGCAGGGTGTATCTCACGCCACCCAGCTTTGCGGGGGGGATGTGTGAGAGTACGACGGCTTATGCCAGCTATGCTTGCTTGCCTTTACTTTATCATGCTATTTCTAGCAGAGGACAATCATATGCATGCATGAATTACTTGATTTCCTGGGCTAGGTGCTTTCCTATATTTTATTATAGTTATAGCACCGAGCTAGGTTGCGTGCACCGAATTCTGGCTTTTCGGTTGCCACCGAATTGCCTTCTACCGAATTCGGTAAGGATCCGTTCGGGACGCTACGCGGCCCGCGGAACCTTCGCGTAACACCTGGTTACGGGGCCTTGTGTCGAGCCTATATATAGCCTCATGTTGTACCCAGGTGATTATTCAATTCGATTCAATTCTCATTCTCTTTTTTGAGCTCGATCCTATCCTAGATCCTCACACCAGCGCCTCGAACACCCTTCACGCGTGACGCTGAAAAACTGCATCGACGCAGGCGTCTTCGCTCCTGGCGCACTCCTGCGCCCTGATGGCTCCGAAGTGAGAGGCGCGACACATCCGCGCAACTGCACCGTCTGCCCCGAAGCTGCGCTGAGCCACCAACCGTTCCCGCTGCTCGAACCTGGAACGAACCGCTACCCCAAGCTACACAAGGTGTACAGCGATTTCCTGAACGTGGGGCATTGCGGAGCCGAGGACGAAATGCACACGCTCACCTTAAGTGGTGGGCCCTAGGAAAAGTTCCCACTAGGGAACCTGCTCTATACGATGTGAAGAAATGAGGAAATGGATGAACTAGGAAACAAGTGGGTACAAGTAGGAAAACCTAAATATGTTGTACCCTATATTGTCTACCCCACTACAGCCTACACAGACTATAGCATATAAGTTTGACACCAGGCATTGGTGGACAGTGGTGCGTCCCACTCGGTGTGTGACCGCGGGATGTTGGAGAAAATTGGAGAACCTTCGGAAGAGACCAAGTTCACGGCAACGATGGTGGACGGTACGAAACTTCCCATCCACGGCGAAACATCATTGCAGCTGCACAAAGAGGCGCTGAGGTGGAAGCTGACGTTGCCGATTACGGACATCAAGGGTTTAGATTTC